GGTCCGTTGTATTGAATCAGCAGGGGTACAGACATGCACTTTGATTCATGATACCCTTAGTTCCTTTTGACCGTTTAACCCTCCCCTCTGTTCCCCCCCTCTCTATTCCCTCTATCTCTACCATCCTCTGTAGACTGCACCTCATCCCTTCGTTCTGTCCCTCCCTCCGTCACTCGCTTTCCCATTTTCCCTCCTTTCCCCTCCCCCCTTTTCCCTTTCCCCATTCCCTTGCCCTTTCCCTTCCCCATTTGCCCATTCTCTCCCTCCTTCCCTCCCTCCCTCCCTCCCTCCATCACCCACAGTCAGCATGAGTTCAGGAGGATCAGAAGACAGTACAATCCCCAGCAGCTCGACGCTGTTCCTCGATTTCTAAAAAAATCTCCTTGCTGTCAAACACCATCGTGTGCCTGCCCTCACCGTCCCTTTCCTCCCTCCCTTTCCCTTTTCCCTTCCCTCCCTTTCCTCCTCCCCCTCCCTCCCTTTCCCTTCCTCCATTCCATTTCCCCTTTCTCATCCCCTTCATACCTCCCCCCACCACTCGCCGTCAACACTTGTTCGGGCGGAGAAGCAGACAGAACAGTCCCAGCACCTCAATGCTGTTCCTTGAGATCTCAAAGATCTCCTTGCCCGCCCTCCCTTTCCCTTCCCCTTCCCTTTCTTCCCTTTTTTTCCCTTCCCCTTCCTTCCCACTCCCCCTTCCCTGTTCCCCCTTTCCCGTCCCCCCCTTTCCCGTCCCCCCTTTCCCTCCTTCCCTCATTCTCTTACAGTGAGCACTCGTTCGGGCGGGGCAGACGACAGCATGGTCCCCATCAGCTCAACGCTGTTTCTCAAGATCTCAAACATCTCCTTGCTATCGAACACCACCATGTGCCCGCCCTGCCTCACTCCCTCCTTACCTTCCCCTCCCTCGCTCTGTGAGCACTTGTTCGGGCGGAGCAGAGGATAACACCGTCCCCAGCAGCTTAACACTGTTCCTGGAGATTTCAAAGATCTCCTTGCTGTCAAACACAACCATGTGCCCGCCCTCCCTCTCCCTTCCCTTTCCTTCCTTCCTTTTCCTTCTTCTCCTCCCCCCCTTTTCCTGTTTCCTCTTACACTCTCCCTTTTTCCCTTCCAAACTATACCCTTTTTCCCTCCTCCCTCACTCACCGTCAGCACTTACTCAGGAGGAGCAGACGACAGCACGGTACCCAGCAGCTCAACGCTGTTCCTCGAGATTTCAAAGATCTCCTTTCTGTCAAACACCACCATGTGCCCGACCTCCCTTTCCCTTCATTTTCTTCCCTTCATTTTCTTCCCTTCATTTTCTTCCCTTCATTTTCTTCCCTTCATTTTCTTCCCTTCATTTTCTTCCCTTCATTTTCTTCCCGTCATTTTCTTCCCTACCTTTTCTTCCCTTCATTTTCTTCCCTACATTTTCTTCCCTACCTTTCTTTCCATCCCTTACCGTGAGAACTTGTTCAACAGGAGCGGAGGAAAGAACAGTCCCCAGCAGCTCAACGCTGTTTCTTGAGATCTCAAAGATCTCCTTGCTGTCAAACACCACCATGTGCCCGCCCTCCCTCGCTACCTTCCCCTCCCTCCCTTACCGTGAGCACTTGTTCAGGAGGAGCAGAGGAAAGAACGGTCCCCAGCAGCTCAACACTATTCCGCGATATCTCAAAGATCTCCTTGCTGTCAAACACCACCATGTGCCCGCCCTCTCTCCCTTCCTCCTTACCTCCCTAACTTTCCCTCCTTTCCCTTACCGTGAGCACTTGTTCGGGCGGAGCAGATGACAGAACAGTCCCCAGCAGCTCAACGCTATTCCTCGAGATCTCAAAGATCTCCTTGCTGTCAAACACCACCATGTGACCACCCTCGGGCCGCGGGACCATCGACACGCCAGGTGGCGCCACCTCATTGGCCATCTGCCCCTCCACCGACTCCAGCAGCGCGTGGGCGGCTTGCACGGCGGCGGGCGGCACACTGGCGGGCGGCGTGAAGATGGGCGCGAGGGACTCGGCGTCGCGGGGCGGGAACACCACTCCGCGCATCTTGAGGCTCTGTGAGGTACAGGTGGTGCAGCGGGAGCGAGAGAGTGAGGGAAGTTGAATGGGTTAAATGAGGGATGCACACTGGCGGGCGGCGTGAAGATGGGCGCGAGGGACTCGGCGTCGCGGGGCGGAAAGACCACTCCGCGCATCTTGAGGCTCTGAGAGGCACACAAGGGGAAGCGGGGGCGAGAGAGAGGAATAAAAACAAGCATCTTCGCGCCTTGCACCACACACAAACAAATGAAAAACACTCCTCCGCAAGATGTGCCTTTCCTTCCATAATCTCCACTTAATGCATGCCACGCTACCTCGCTACCTCGCAACCGCAGCTGCACATCATTTAAAGTGCCTCAAGTCACCAAAAGTTAACAAAAGATGCCTCAAGTGTCGCCTCAGTTGCTCCGCGCTGAGGGCTCGCCCGACACGCGAGCCATAGATTTTGTCGGCCAAACCCCCTACGGCGCGCTCGCCATGACGCTTGGATCGACTCAAACGTACGCCAAGGTCCCGTCGTTTGCACGTGTTTTGTTTCGAGGAGTGTCTCAACGAGAAGCAACTTCGCGGATTAGGAGTTTCAAATCGCCACATGTTATTTGCTGACGATGACGCACCCACTAGGCGCGCATCGCATCTTGCCAAACGGCAGTTTGAGCAGAAGGTGACGCGAGATAAAGCGAGGTGAAGCGCGCTCTATTCACATCCACATCCGTAAATCACCTTGTACGTTTCTTCAAAGACGGGAAGGTACCGCAGCTCCTCCGTGGCTTCAACCCACGCCTCGATCATCTTCAGCACCTTCTACCGCCGCTGCGCCGCGCTGCTCGGTACTAAAGCCTGCCCCTCCTCCCCAATCTTCTTACCTTGTAGGTTTCTTCGAAGACGGGCAGGTAACGTAACTCCTCCGTGGCCTCGCCCCACGCCTCGATCATCTTGAGCACCTTCTCGCGCAGCTGCGCCGCGCTGTGCGGCTCGTCCGCGACGCGCACCATGTCGTCCAGCACGCGCTCGTTCGCCACGTCGGAGAAGAGCGACGAGCAGTTCTTAACGGCCATCTCCAGCAGCGCCAGCGCCAGCATCTGCACGTGCGAGTTTCGTGACCCGAGCTGCTTCTTAATCGCGCGCACCGTCTCGCCTCCCGGGAGCTTTCCCGAGTTAACGAGGTCGCAGATTAGGAGATTTCGGCCCCAGTCGGGGGAGATTAGGATTTCGTCCGTCGCTTCTTCGACCAGACGCTCCGCGAGCGTCGGCGTGTGGAAGATGTTTTTCATCTTGTCGCCGATTTCCGTCATTGATTCCGTCAATTTCCCGCCGACGGCGTTCATCGACTCCCCCATTTTCTTCCCCATCGTGGCGAGGCGGGCCTTCCAGTCTTCGCCCGCGTGGCTGCTGGTGCCGCCCAGCAGTCCCTCATCTTGCGGATCGTCCGAACCGCGAAGAGTCACGTAACCTGCCATACTTGAGACAGTGGTCTCGCTTTTTAACAATTGACAACTTGTACGACTGCTAGTAGCTACCACTGAATTACTCGAGGCACGCCGTTTCTATTTCTACTTTCTATGATCCGAATGAATCTAGTTGCCAAATTCGATTTCTTATCGAAAATGAAACCAAACCCGAACAAGTCTTCTAGATGTGAATTCTTCTCAGAAATGAAATGTGAATCCTCCTGGCAGTTCTCTTTTGGAGGTTTGGGGGGAAGACTACCCCGAGGTGCCGGAGGTGAAGTGGAAATGTCCGTCAAGTGGACGGAAAGCGGGACCGATGGAAAATGGAGGAAACGTGGAAAGCGGAATCTCGAGGAAGAAGCCGATGACGGACAGAAGCGGAACGAAGACGGAATCTGCCCATGGAGGTTACATCCCGTCAGCAATCGCACCTGCAAGGGAGATGCATCCAGGCAACCGACATTCCCAGTGTTGAACGTCAGCTGTTTTGGGTGCCCCATTGGAATGAAGATATTCCGCATTGTGCGCCTTGATGACGCGTAAAGGACGGAACTTCGCGGGTGTAGACGATTATTGTACTACACGTCGGATTGGCTGACGGTGGAGAAAGCAGGCAAAACCAATCAGAGACTTCACCAAGAGAGTCGCGGGTTTGACTCAATTCACTGAAAGCAATTGCCTGAAGGGAAAATATGCCATGGGTAACCAACTTGGGACTCGATAACGTGAATGGTAAAAAAAAAACGCGTACGGCCACTGTATCGGGTTTCCTGACGGGTTTGGTAAGTGGGGTCACGGATTCAGTCACTAACAACATTCAAGGAATCACGCGAATGGTGACACATGTAACTCCCGCCAAAAAAACTTGAAACTCAGCAAATTTCCCGCTCGCGCCCAACCAATCTGCTAACCTGTAAAAAATCTAAAACCCAATCGGAATGGGATGCGGTTGGGAACGGATCAACCCTAAACACCTGGTGAGTTACGTATTTAGGGTTGATTCATTCGAAAATGCATCCAGGTTCTTTTTTGGGTTTCATTTTGTTTTGGCGGGAGTTTCATCTATGACCATTCGCGTTTTTTTTTACCATTTGATTGCGACTGATTACGTGAAACGATTTATCAGTCGCGTCAAAACACCCTTTGCAGTGACCGTACCCTTTTTTTTTTAACCAGAAATGTGATCGAGTCCCATGATGGTTACGAATGGCATATTTTCCCTTGCCTCAAAGCTGGCTGATCCCAAAACAAGATCCCGCACCACTCTCAATTGCAAAATAGTTACATGGTACGCCCATCTTTGTTATTACCAGTTTTAACACAGGCCTCAAGTGAATCTATGACAAGCACATGTACACCATGTGCGAACACGGCATCACCAGTAATCACGTGCATTGCACGCCGCGCAATTCAACACCTACTTAAAAAAAAACCTCGATATCCCTAGTCGTTGTCGCCATCAATTTTGTTCTCGCTTGTTCCCATCCAGATTTCATCCAAACACCAAGTTCACTCCCTCTCACCTACCATAACCCCCCTGGTAACCCCCTCCAACATACGACCCAGTCTGATAGTCATACGTCGCTTGTCCTGCACTGACCTGCGCTCCCCCCACCCCACCTCCCACTCCCCCACCCCCACCCCCCTGCCCTTGGTCGCCCTGAACCGCATAATACACCGTGGTACCCGCCGCCCCCACCTCCCCTCCATACATCCCCCTCTGCACCAGCAGCTGCGGCCCAGCCCCTGCATCAGTCACATACGTCACCGTCCCCCCCAAACCACTCCCCAAGCCTCCCACCCCCCCTGCAGCATACAGCCCTCCCCCTAACCCTGCCCCCGCGCCTGGTGAGGTAAGCGCTGACCCCATGGTTCCCACCCCATATACCACCTCCTGCCCCAGGCTGCCTGGGCCCCCTCCAGCTGTTGCATAGATGGCACCTCCCCCAGCCATACCTGCCCCTCCAAGAGAATATGCTGCTTGCCCCTGTCCCTGCCCCTGCACCTGCACCTGCACCTGCCCCTGCCCGCCAGTATATCCTCCCCCTCCCCCTCCTCCCCCGCTGTACCTAGGAGGCGGGTCGTATCTGCTGCTCCCTCCCCCCCCACCACCACCACCACCTCCTCCTCCTGCGCCTGCTCGTCCCGGTGATGCTGCTCCAGGCCGTGACAGGCCGTACGAACGGGGAGACGAGGACACTCCACCACCCCTCGCACCACCACCACTGCCTCCCCCCCCACCACTACCACCAAGATACCCCCCACCACCCCCGCTGCTGAACCCACCATCGCCGCCGCCCCTCGCACCACCACCCCTCGCGCCGCCCACGGCCCGAGCGGCCGCCGCCGCCCGCAGATTCGCCACAGTGACAGCGTTCGAGCCGGAGGCCGTGACACCACCACCGCCGCCACCAAAGCCTCCCACAGGGCCGGTAGCAAGGCGCTGCCGTTTCGCCGCCATGGCCTGCTGCACGCGCGTCTCGTGCGCGGCGCGCTTGGCGACCTGCGCCTGCTGCTTGCGGAGCTGGCGGTTCTTCTCGAGCTGCTCGATGCGCTTGGTGAGGTGGTCCGTTGAAAAAAGAGTCTTGAGATTGCAGTCGTCGACGCAGCGGATCAGGGCTCGCACCATGCTGATCTCCCTTGAGGTTGCCTCGTTCTGAGGGAGGTGAGAGGGAGGGGGAACGGGAGGGGGAACGGCGAGGGGTGAGAGAAAGCAGGGGCGACCAGAGGCAGGGGTGTGACAGGGAGTGGCAACACACAGAGCGAATGAGTGCCCCGCAGCAGCCTGCTGCTGCTGCTTGCGCAGGTGGCGGTTCTTCTCGAGCTGCTCGATGCGCTTGGTGAGGTTGTCCGTGGAGAAGCGCGGCTTGAGACTGCAGTCGTCCACGCATCGGATCAGGGCTCGCACCATGCTGATTTCCCGTGAGGTGGCCTCGTTCTGAAGGGGAGAGGGAGAGGGGTGAGAGAGGAGCCAAGGAGGAGGGACGATAGTGAGAGGCTTGAGGCTGCAGTCGTCCACGCAGCGGATCAGGGCTCGCACCATGCTGATCTCCCTCGAGGTTGCCTCGTTCTGAGCGACACAGGGGGGGGAGGGTTGAGAGGGAGGAAAGGTGGTAGTGGTGAGACGGGAAGTGAGACGCAGTGGATCAGCGCCCGCACCATGCTGATCTTTCTTACTGTTGCCTCGTTCTGAGAGGGGAGAGAGAGGGGGAGGGGGAGGGGGAGGAAGGGGGTAGTGGTGCGACGGGAAGTGGGTCACAGTGGATGAGCACCCGCACCATGCTGACCTGCAGCGACTTTTGAGACGTCTCAAAAGATGAGCACCCGCACCATGCTGACCTGCAGCGACTTTTGAGACGTCTCAAAAGATGAGCACCCGCACCATGCTGACCTGCAGCGCAGCGACACGCACCATGAGACGTCTCAAAAGATGAGCACCCGCACCATGCTGACCTGCAGCGACTTGTCCTTGTTGGTCATGGTGCGACTTTTGAGAATTCTCAAAAGTCGCACCAACGGGAAGTGGGACACAGTGGATGTGCACCCGCACCATGCTGACCTGCAGCGCAGCGACTTGTCCTTGTTGGTCATGGCGCGCACGAGTGTGCGGATCTCATGTGATTGCACAGACAAGGCATTGCACGGCATGGCATGCAATCGCAAGCAAGCAGCACATAGACACGCCCAAGCCCACCCACACACCTCAGCCTGCAGCGACTTGTCCTTCTTGGTCATGGCGGAGACCAGGGTGCGGATCTCCCTGAGGTTGCGCTTGAGCAGGTCAACGGGGTCAACCTGGTCAAGCAGGTCAACGCCATGCGCCAGGTAGATGGCGTCCACCTCGCGCCCCTCCTTCACCAGCCGCTCAACCACGACTGCAGGTTGAACCGCCACAACAACACGAGAGAAACACAGGACGACAGGAAGAAAAGGAGGCAGAGATGAGCGGGTGTGAGTTGAGCGCCAGGTAGATGGCGTCCACCTCGCGCCCCTCCTTCACCAGCCGCTCAACCACGACTGCAGGGGGGATGACCATAACCACACAACACCATAACAGAGCAGCAACACAACAGCACGACGGAGGAAGACAGCACGACGGAGGAAGACAGCACGACGGAGGAAGACAGCACGACGGAGGAAGATTCAGCATTCGAGGCGTCTGAGCGCCTTGCCTTAAGGACAGGCGGGCTGTAGCAGTTGATCAGCTATGGGTTAGCTTGCGTGTCCTAGTGGAAACATGGGGATGGGAAAGCATACCACTTCCACACGCGGATTTGTGGGAATGAAATTGGAAGCTAAGTGGGGTGAGAGGGAAGCACTGCAGGACGCGAGGGGGACGTGCACAGCACAGCACGCAGCATGGCACAGCACGCAGCACGGCACAGCACAGCACAGCACAGCACAGCACAGCACAGCACAGCACAGCACAGCGAGAGGTTGCAAGCACACACATAGCACACTGTCTGCATTTGCATATGCATGGAGAACGCTCCGCCAGTGCACACACATATGCTTTGTCTTAGACGCTCAGAGAAGCAACCCACCAGCGCGGCGCAAGCAACCCATGCATGCTACGCTACGCAACAGCTAGTCACATCAACCGTCCCGCTGTGACAGCTGTCAGAAGCGTCCCTCCACCACCACACATCCAGCCAGTTGGATCGTGCACTTCTGGCCCTTTCAAGCTCACAAGTCACGCTTCCAGCCAGCCAGCCAGCCAGTCAGACATGCGCTTGAAGCCTTCTGACAGCCAGAAGCCATGCTTACGGCCCAACGTGGAGCTGAGAGCATCGCAGCTGCGACTCACGATCGCAACGTGCTCTGCCCTGCGCCACATGCGCATACTGTGGTGTGGTGAGCATTTATCCGCAACCCCATGGCCTTGACCGTTACCGCAGTGCCCATGCGGCCATAGCTACTCATCAATAGCCACACGGCCGTGAATGCCTTGAGCGCACCTGTCACTGATTCCTACCTCCATCCACCACCCTCATACGAATTTCCCAGCTGGCATTTTCTCCTCAAGCCCCATGACCTTCACCGTTACCACAGTGGCCCACGGCCATACCTACTTATCAATAGCCAGACCGCCCCATCCCCATGTATATTCTCCCCACCTGGCATCTTGTCCATGAGTCCCATGGCCTTCACCATGTCGGCAGTGAAATACCGCCAAAGTAACTTATCAGTGGTCAAGTCATACGGCTGTCACGCCTTGAGCACACCTCTCAGTGGCCCCTACCTCCAGCCCCCAGTGTAATCCCCACCTGGCATCTTGTCCACGAGCCCCATGGCCTTCACCATGTCGGCCGTCTGCTTGCGCCGCGCAGACACCGCCACAAACCCTAGCAGCGCGCCTTCGTCCACCTGCCGCGCCACGCCAAAAACCGCCGCCACCTGCAGCACCAGCCACGCGTCCAGCGACGAAGCTTCCTCCGCCTTGCTCAGCGGCCCCCCGCTCCGCACCCACCTCTCCAGAACCCCCCGCGCCTTCTCCTGTATCGAGGGCGCAATAACGGGGACGGAAACCCCCTCCGCTTTAGCCTGCTTGGCCAGAACCTGCCCTAGGGTTTCCACCAGGAGGGAAACGGCGCGCACGTGGGTGGGCTCGACGGGCTCGCGCCGCTTATCCTTGCCGGCCGCGGAAGCTTCGACGGCCTTGGGTTTGTAGGAGTCTAGGCAGGAGAGCACGAGGCGGCAGGGATCGAGCGCGAGGGGGAGCGCGTGCGGGAGCTCCGCGCGCACGCGGCTAATGTCGCGCCGGTTCTGCATCACGTAGCGCTTCAGGCCCTCCGCGTCCATCCCCGCGCACAGCCCGCGCAGCTCCGCGCTCACGCGCACCGCCGCCTCCCCCGAGTCGTCCCCGGATCTCGGGGTCTTGTCGGACTTGCCGTCCTTGGGAGCAGTAGCGGGCTCGGCTGTAGCGGCTGTAGCCGCTCCGTTACTGGCGGGCTCGCTAGGAGCAGCCTCGGTGCCAGCTAGCTTTCCAGACGACTTGTCTTCACTGGCCGCGCGCGTATCACGAGTTGAGGCCGAAGCCTTAACCTTTTCCCCTTCAGATCGAGCCTCTTCCTTAATCTTGCCCGCATCGTTCTCCTTCTCCTCCTCCTTTTTCTTCTCTTCCGTCACCTTCTCCTTCTCCTTCTCTTTCTCCTTCTCCTTCTTATCCTTCTCAGCCTTGTCGCTGCTCTCCTTCCTCTCGCTCTCACGCCTCGCCTTATCGCTCCCTTCCTTACCCTTCCCACTCGCCTTGTCCTTCTCACGGCTCTTCTCCTTCTCCTCCTGCCATTTCTTCCTCTCCTCCGCCAGAGCAGCAAAAGCTGCATCTCGCTGCTCCTGCACTCGCTGCATCGACGCAGATTCGCGAGACGAGATTGCACTCTCTCGCTTATCGAGTTGCATTGTAACGGATCGCGTCTTCTCCTCTTGGGCTCGCTCTCTCTCGCTCACGTCCTGCTCCCGCTTTCGGAGCCTCTCCTCGCTCGCGGCGAAAAACTCGTCCAGCTCTTTCCACTGCGCGATGCAGCTCGCGAGCATCGCCGATTTCGCCTGCAGGTCCGCGAAAGACCGGCGAACGTTTTCGTAACGAATCGCGTACCCTGAAATCTGAGCGTCGGGACCGTCGGTGTCGACATTTACCATCTCTTGATCCGCATCCTCCGCCGTGTTTCCCGCCGTTGTTCCCGGCACACTCGCATCCTCCGCCGTTGTTCCCGGCACACTCGCGTTCTCCGCTCTTCCCGGCGAACCGTCCACATCCTCAGGTTCACCCTCAAGATCAAATTCGTCGTCCTTATCCACATTGTCCACGTCAGCCTTTCCGTCCACGTCAGCTCCCGGCTGTTCCTCCAAGTCAATCACGTCAGCCTTAACGTTTTCAGCCACTTTCTCATCGGCATCAGTGGCGCCGTTAGTTGTCATATCGGTTACTGATTCTAACTTTATCCTGAGGAGGAAACGGGGGAGAGATCCGTAGGCACGAGACAAGGAAAGGAACGGGATGGGACATACGAAGGAAGGCAATATTGATCGCATCTGAAAAACGTGAGAGTGGAAATACATAAAAAGCAGGACTGACAAAAAAAAGGAAAAAAACCAAACAGCACTCGAAAACACGATAGAACTCCTTACGAGGAAGACCACATGGGAGTAAAGAAACATACAGAATTGTCGAGGAAACTAGACGCGTCAGTTCAACGCGGATGATGCGGCGAACTGGAATGAGGCTAGCAGGGAGATTTGTGGTGAAAGCTTGGACTGTGAGAACTCCGATCCGAGAAATAGGAGGATGAGGGAACACAGATAGGGTTTGGTGCTGGGAATGGTGCTTTAGGTCGACTGAGAATGTAGGGTTATGGTACGGTGAAGTGGGGTGGGAAAGGACAGGGGTGCAGTGAACGGAGGGAGGGAGGGGAGAGCGAGGAGAGGGGGAAAAGAAAGTCAACGGCGAGATGGAGCCTGGAATTCCGCTGCTACAGCTGCAATCCTCCACTACTAAAGCCTCGCTACCAGTTACAATGAGAGTGTACAGCGCTAATATAAGATGTACTACGAACATTTATGAAAGGAACAACAGTTCTTCAAGCCCGCAGCCCAAGTTCTCCATGATTCAAAAAGTTGACGGGGAGGCAGTACAATTTTTGGGCTGTGGCGAGAGTCCCTATCTCTTAAGAAGCATGCACAACGAAGTGATGGGATTAGGAATGTGGGTGATACAAATAGCAAACCCTAACTGAGTTGTACTCACTAAGGAGCACCTCACTACAGCCTATTACAAATAATAACATTTGACACACCCCCATAGGCTAAGTGAGGGGCATCAGAGCAAGCAGGGTGAAAAAACGGTCACAAGACCAGTCAAGACAAGAAACAAAGCAAGCTCAGGGTGGATCTCAAGGACACCACACAAATTCTGAGCACAAACAAGTGGCCACAAGGCTAGTGCAAGAGAGCACAAGTATATATAGAGGCAATTACAAGCAGAGCAAGCAACGAGAACAACACTACAGCAACCGAGTGCCTACCTTAACAAGCCCTAGCTGCACACATAACCTGCGGTGGTCACCAGGCGCCAAGGCCTTGGTGAAGACGTCGGCAGTGTTGGCCTCCGAGGCCACAAAGTCCAAGCGCGCCTGGCCGCGACGCTGCAGCTCGCGCAGGAGGAAGTACCTCACGTTAATGTGCTTCACTCTGCTCTCCAGTCGAGGCTCTCGACACAGGAGGATCATGGCATTGTTGTCAGCGTACAAGGTCGGTGCAGAGCGAGGCCGCTCACCAAGGTCGGCAAGCAAGAAGGTCAACCAGCGAAGCTCCTGTGCCGCCATGGCACCAGCGTAGATCTCTGCCTCTGCATTGGACGAAGCCACAGACGACGAACGTGTAGACCTCCACGACACAGCACCAGCACCCAGGCTGAAACAGTAACCCTAAGTCGAGCGCTGAGTCTCCGCCCTGACGCGGCCCCTGCCGCGGCCCTGACGCGGCCCTGCCGCGGCCCCTGACGCGGCCCTGACGCGGCCCTGACGCGGCCTGCCGCGGCCCCTGCCGCGGCCCTGAAGCGGCCCCTGACGCGGCCCTGACGCGGCCCTGACGCGGCCCTGCCGCGGCCCCTGGCGGCGCCCTGACGCGGCCCCTGACACGGCGCCCTGACGCGGCCCCTGCCGCGGCCCTGACGCGGCCCTGCCGCGGCCCCTGACGCGGTCCTGACGCGGCCTGCTGCGGCCCCTGCCGCGGCCCTGAAGCGGCCCCTGACGCGGCCCTGACGCGGCTCTGCCGCGGCCCTGACGCGGCCCTGACGCGGCCCCTGACGCGGCCCCTGCCGCGGCCCCTTACGCGGCCCTGACGTGGCCCTGCCGCGGCCCCTGGCGGCGCCCTGACGCGGCCCCTGACGCGGCGCCCTGACGCGGCCCTGCCGCGGCCCCTGACGCGGCCCCTGCCGCGGCCCCTGACGCGGCCCCTGACGCGGCCCCTGTCGCGGCCCCTGACGCGGCCCCGCCACCTACCTTTCCGGCCCCGCCGCCTCCTCTCAGCGGCCCCGCCGCCTCCTCTCAGCGGCCCCGCCGCCTCCTCCCAGCGGCCCCGGACGCCGCCCTCTCAGCGGCCCAGCCGAGCCGCCCAGCAGCCTAGCCGCCCAGCAGCTGAGCCACCGAGCCGCCCAGCAGCCGAGCCGCCGAGCCGCCCAGCAGCCGAGCCGCCCAGCAGCAGAGCCGCCGAGCCGCCCAGCAGCCGAGTCGCTGAGCCGCCCAGCAGCCGAGCCGCCGAGCCGCCCAGCAGCCGAGCCGCCCAGCAGCCGAGTCGCCGAGCCGCCCTGCAGCCGAGCCGCCCGAGCCGCCCTGTCCGGTAAGAGCAGCGCCTCTCTCACAGCACTGCCCTCACCCCACTGTTTGCGCTGCTAGTCTACTGCTGTCATGGCTACCCCTAGTGTCCTCGCTTTTGACGCTGAGGGTCGGGCCATTGACTTTGACGTCTGGATAGATGACCTGCAGCTTTTCTTACAGTGCGATAGGGCAGACGGCCTCTCCCTCTTTGACCTCACTTCTGGTGCCTCTCCTGCCCCCGCCACTGATGCTGACGCAACTGTTCGCTCCCAGTGGGCCACGCGCGATGCTGCTGCACGTCTTGCTGTGCGTCGCCACCTGTCTACCTCTGAGCGTGCGCACTTTAGCCAGTACAAGAGTGCTCAGACCTTGTACGACGCTGTAGTTGCACGCTACTCCTCCCCTGCCACTGCTGCACTGAGTCGCCTCATGCTACCGTACCTCTTCCCTGACCTTGCTGCCTTTCCCACAGTCGCTGACCTCATTATGCACCTACGCACTAGTGACACTCGCTACCGCGCTGCGCTTCCTGCTGAGTTCTGCGCCGAGAACCCCCCCCCCATGTACATCACCCTCTACTACATAGTCACCCGGCTCCCTGACTCCCTTCGCGTAGTCAGGGACCACTTCCTCTCAGTTTGCCCCACCACTCTCACCGTTGACCTCCTCGAGAAGTCCCTCCTAGCAGCAGAGAAGAGCATAGTAGCTGTAGGAGCCTCTCGTGGTGACCCTCGCACCCCCATCTTTGAGGGGTGTTCCCCCTCCCCCCTTTTGCCCTCTGTTGCCTCTGCTGCTGCGGCCGACCTCGTTGGGCTTGAGTCGGTCGGTGCGGCGTCTACCCCTAGCGGGAAACGCCGCCTTGGCAAGGGCAAGGGGGGCAGGGGCGCTGGAGGAGCTAGCGGGGGCGGTGGAGGCGGCAGTGGAGGAGGTGGAGGAGGTGGCGGTGGCGGTGGGGGTGGTGGCGGGGGTGGAGGTGTCGGTGGCGGCAGTGGAGGCGGAGGCGGCAGCGGCAGTGGCGGAGGGAGCGGAGGTGGCGGCGGTGGAGGAGGAGGCGGCGGAGGAGGTGGAGCTGGTCGGGGTGGCGCTGCGCAGAGGGTCGGCTCCGGTGGTGGTCAGCGCCAGCAGCAGCAGCAGCAGCAGCAGCGCACTCGTGACATCCCCTCCCCTCAGCAGCTCCGTGAGTGGTACACTGCACGCCAGAGGGGTGGGGGTACTGGTCCGTGCACCTACGTCCTCCGCACCGGCGACCGCGCGGGTGAGCAGTGCGGGGGTGCGCACTCCACCCAGCGCTGCTTTGGCCGCCTGACGGACGCTTGGCGTCACCAGTTCCCTGAGGCCACTGAGATCCCCCGCTGGGGTGAGCTGTCTAGGGCGGGTGTAGCAATCTTTGACCTTGACTTTGATGCTATTCTTGCTGCCGTGTATACTGTGACTATTAGTGATGAGGGTGACTGTTACCGGTGTTTTCCGCCCGACCCGGGCATTGAGACTGCTGCTCTAGGTACTGGTGAGGCTGCTGCTCTAGGTGCTAGCGAGGCTGCTGCTCTAGGTGCGTCTGCTCCCTCAGGTGCTGGTGAGTCTGCTCTCTCAGGTTCTGCGTCGGCTTCGGCCTCCCACACCTTCACCCTTGACTCGGGGGCTTCTCGCTCCTTCTTTCGAGACCGCACCACACTCACGCCGCTTGGCCGGCCCGTTGCGGTCTCTCTGGCAGACCCCTCTGGAGGTCCTGTCCTTGCTCACTTCTCCACTGTCCTCCCGTGTCCGGCGGCCCCCTCTGGCACCCTGTCTGGTCTCTACCTCCCCTCGTTCTCTACGAACTTGGTGAGTGGTGCTGACCTACAGGATGCGGGGGTTCACCAGTTCACTCCTGCGAGTCAGCGGGTGACCCACTGCACGGACGCTCGGACAGGCCGCCACCTGGCCACGTTTACACGTCGGCCAGGGTCGAGCCTGTACACACTGACCACTGCGTCTCCTCCAGTCCCTGCGTCTGGTCAGGTAGCTGCGTCGCGTCAGGTGTTTGCTGCAGCGTCCAGGTCTGGTCCTGAGTCTGCCCCCTGCTCGTGTCGCCTCCTGTCTCACGAGACTCTCCTCTGGCACCACCGCCTTGGTCACCCCTCCCTGCTTCGTCTCCGGAGCATGGCCTCCCGTATCCTTGTCTCTGGTCTTCCCCGGTCCCTCCCTCCCCTTCCTCCGGGGCCTGGCCCTACCTGCGTCCCCTGTGTCGAGGGACGGCAGCGGGCTACCCCTCACTCCTCCCAGTTTCCTCCGACAGAGGCCCCGCTGCAGACGCTTCACATGGACGTGTGGGGCCCGGCCCGCGTCCGTGGACAGGGTCACGAGCGCTACTTCCTGCTGGTGGTTGACGACTACTCGCGTTACACCACAGTCTTCCCCTTGCGCAGCAAGGGTGATGTCACTGAGGTGTTGATCGACTGGATCCGCGCAACTCGTCTCCAGCTCAGGCGGAGCTTCGGCTCGGACTTTCCTGTTCTGCGTCTGCACTCTGACAGAGGCGGAGAGTTCTCCTCTGGCCTTCTGCGAGCCTACTGTCGTGCACGAGGCATCCGCCAGACCTTCACGCTTCCGGACTCTCCACAGCAA